ATACATACCCAGGATGGGCAAGCATATGTTCCATTTTTTTCCTGTCAGCCATCTGTACGATAATTTCAGTTTCAATGCTTAAACTCATAGTCTGCAGAATTTGTAAATAACTTCGAATAATGAAACTAAATAAAACATTATTAAGGAATCTACGCTCAAAATTTGTAGAAATTCAAATATGAAAAAAATTGATAATATTATTTTTACTTGGTCAAGAACTAGCATAAACGAAAATTACACAAATATGGCGAAACTTTTATTCTGTGAAAAGCTAAAATTTTTAAAATTCTAGTACGACTTTCAGTTTTTTTTTTTTTTTTTTAGCATGAATAGGGATGTAAGCTTAAATTTAAATGCTAAAATAATTTTATTTTTCGTATATAGGTTCTCATAACATAAAACAAAAAAAAATGACCCGCCCGCCCGGACTTTTATTTAAAAAATTTGAAAATTTTTTAAATTATAAAATTAAAGGTTTATTTTTATAAAGCTATGACCGGAAATACATAATACTGTAGAATTTTAGTCAAATCTATAACGATAACGGTAAGAATTCCTGTTTTATTTTGGGTTAAGATATAAAAAATAAAATTGATTCCAACTAGGAATGAGACTGGACGGGCTGTTAGACTAATTAAACATTACTATATATGCATTATTACCCGTTTATTATTATAGACTCCATTCTAACTATTAGTTTATTACTCGTTTTATTGCATAAAATCTACTTCTAAACTATGAGATGCGATCCGTTATCCATTTTCCTATTTTAATAATTTTGTTATAAAATTAAATTAGAGCGTATCCGGATCGCATCTCTAACTCTAAACAAATATTCAAACCTGCTATTATTATTAGAACTAGTGATGGCAAGCGTATGAATTTTAAGAATCATGTACATGATTTTGTAGGTATGATATATTTTAATGTACCTTGTACTGTAAGTTTATCTAGACAATCATTTTAAATAATTAAAAATACCTGTTATTGTTATTACGTGTATAATAAAATAGAGATTAAATAAAAAAAAAAACCAATTAAAATTTATTATTGTCTAAGCCTCTAAAAACCTCGTACAGTTAATAAATTATCATCCATCACGAGTGTTTTCTATACATTTTTACCAATCATTTTTTTCGTGTGAAAAATAGGGTACAACTTACATTCTTAATTTATTTCGAATTACGTACAGTCGACTCTCTATAAGTGCACGTTATCGGGGGATGTGCACTTATAGAATTGTGCCTTTTCTAGCCAAATTGTAGCTTAGACTTAAAGCTACAAATTGGCTAAAAAATTTTTAAAAAAAGCATTTACAGAGAGAAAATCGTATTATACTATAACTTTAATAAATTAATTTTTTATCATTTCTACGTAATGTTACACAAAATTTATTGAAAGATCAAATGATGTGCGTTTATAGAGAGAGAAGGTGTACTTATATAGTGTGCACTTATAGAGAGTCGACTGTATTTATTTTAACGCTAAAAATATGAGTTTTCATGGCTGCGGGAGTAAATCTGATCCTCAAAACAGCATAAAAGATCAGTGTTGTCATAAATTTAATATTTTTTTGGCATTTACTGGTTTTATCACGATGGCCAATCATACAGCAGATTGAGCAGAATTACTTTTAAATCTAGCTAGTAGTACCCACGGGAACTGAAAGTTGTTTATTAAGTTAATGTAAATCTAAATATAAATTTTACATATATTAAAGCCCTTACCCGGGTCAGTTTAATCCGTACAAGTCAGCTTCTTGGTGGGTCACGGGTCAAAAATTGGTTTATACGGGTCATGGATGGATTTACTTATTTCTGCAAGTGATACAAATCATGTGACAATAATAAATATTTATTTGTTGTTATTTTCGCTAATAACGCGTGAAATTAGACCGGCATTAGGGTTGGGGTTAGAGCTGCGTTAAAGTAAGCTATATAGTAAAATTTAGCTAGGAATTTTTTTAATTAGTGCATAAAAAGCAATTTCTTAAGCAAAATTTTGTGTTACCGGTAATTTTTTGAAAAAGCCTTCGATTTCACGTTACACAAAATTTACACCTGATCTTGCGATCTACATAGAAATTTTTCTTTTTTTGGGTTTGTATCACTTGCAGAAATAAGTATACGCTTGTATATACCTCTGCGAATATTAGTCGAAATTCATATAGAGTAATCTCATTCACTGTTAGAGTGTTAGAGTTAGTAATGCATAATAATAATAATAATAATGATATACAAAAAGTAAAATAGTTAAAAACTTACAATAAGTTTGTAGACCGTAGAGTTTTATGCTTGTTATGGTTTTATTTCCGCAAAATTGTTGACCATGGTCTTCAACAACTTTGCGATCTTCAATCGATCACCTTTATAATGAGACCAATCCTTTTTAAGTGGTGGGCCACTAATTTCGATTATAGAAAACTCTTCCTTTTCATTTCGTAGTTCAAGGATTACATCGATCTTTTTTCCGGGTGCCCTTCTTTCAGAGTCATACTTCTGCGAGTTCTTGTCCTTAGCACTAGTTTTTAGACAAGTTTCACCGTAAACTGCACGCCAACTACTTTTGTTCTTGAAAAAAATTTCATTAAGTATAGGAGCTAAGACACTATTTATGTATGTGCCTTCTGACATTGGTTCGACTAAAATGTTAACCTCTTCTATAAGTTGAATCCTATAAATAAAAAATTATTATTCAAAAAGAGAAAAAAACTCAAAAGCTAAGAAACATAAGTTTCACAAACTTAAAAGCGAATTTTCTTTCAAATGAAAGTAATTCATTTTCTTTTACATTCTGAATATTTTCTTTTGTTATTATAATATCACGATCAATGATTCTATCTAACAATGATTTCACCTCTTTTTCCATATCAGCTATATTATCGGTTCACTCTCACTTATATCATTTACCATTTGTGATACAATAATATTATCCAACGTTTCTAAAAATCCATCATTAGTGGAATTGAACAAAATGATGTCATAATATTCAGGAGACGTCTTTGTCAAGTTTTTCTTGTTTTGATATTCCTTGAGATGTTCTCGTATATTTAGCCCATCTACAAACCATTCATTTTTTCCGCCAACAATTGTAAGATTTGCATCAAATTCAATGCTATTTTCCTCCTCCTCTTATACATGGGTGCCTAAATTATTTTCGAAAAATCGTACTTTCGGCAAACATTTCGGCATTGCTAAATATTTTATATCAAACCCTTCGAAAGAACTATATCATATGATGTATTTTGATGAAAAGAGTTCAAAAAGTTTAGGCAATAATTTCGGCAAATATGAAATTAATTTCGACACTATATAAGACTAATTTCGGCTGCCTAAATGCCGTAATTAATTTTTTATTAAGATGGGCAATTTAGGCACCCATGTATACCTCCTCTGTTTCAAATTCATGATTTACCAAAAAAGGATTTGGTAAAGGTTTCTTAGATATGTACTTAGGCGAAGTACGATATCCTAAATTTTCACTTGACTTATTTTTTGATGTTCGATCCGGTGTACAGACAGCTTCTCCATGCAATTGACCATAAAAGAAAAAGAAAAATTAATCTTGATAGTAGATCACAAGTCGAACTGAGTCTAATAAACGAATATCGATGAAAAAAAAAACAGAAATTCTCTTTACATTTTCTGTTGCACATTTGCGTCTCTTCTTCTTTGGCTCTTCATTTTCTTTGTTACCCTAAATATGTAATAGAAAAATAATAATTAGTGAATTTTCACTAAGTAGAGATACTTTATTAGCATACGGCAAACGTAAGTTTCTTATAATAAGGAACATAACCAATTCCTCCTCCGGAATTAGTAGACCTTATTTGAAGAAACTTCATTGGACTGTGTATTCTTTGTGGACCAGAATGACCACATAGACTGAACGGTAATCACCGTTAGGTGATCTCACAAACTTGCGGACCGGAACACCATATGGAATAAACGGGAATCACCTTCGGAACCATGAGTAAACGGGAATCACTTTCGGAACCATGTGGAGTAAATTGGAAATCAAATGAAGCAACCAGTTTGAGTAGAACAAATTAATAAAACTGCTGCCATAATAAGATTGAAATTATTCTAAAAAAAAGTAATACCACCTTCGGAACTATGTGGAGTAAGCGGGAATCATCTTCGGAACCATGTGGAGTAAACGGGAATCACCTTCGGAACCATGTGGAGTAAACGGGTCACAAACTTGTGGACCGGAACAGCTATGTGGAGCAAACGGAAATCACTCTTGCAATTTGTTTTAAATGATGCAACCTTTTCACTGCATCAAACAAATTGTTCGAATGATCTCACAAAGAAAGCCCAAAGGAAAGGTGCTTGCCTAATAATACTATAAACCATTTTACCTGTTTGTAAAACTTTCGTGACTTTTTATCGTGACGTGCGTGAAACATAGTGAGAGGATAAGGTAACTATGTAACTAAGTAACCAAACAACTCCAGGATATATAAACATAGGATCGTTTTTACGCCAACGTGATTTGCCGACCTGAATTGGCCAATACTACAAGCATGATGGAAATTTGTTTTGATTGGCCAAAAAATGATCGACATCTCAGATATAGTAAAATTTTAACCGTGTGTCCGGAATAAAATGAATCTGATTGGCCAATTAAGGTATTTTGTGTTACCTGATGATCATTTAGGGGACGTCCGTTAAACCGGCATTGTTATAGGGATCTTAAAGATAATACAAAAATAATACTATATGGAATTATCTTCAAGGTCTCTATTTTTATACAATACTGTACTGGTTTAACGTAAATTATGGATGTCCTCTAGCTTATAAGAATTTGATATTGTCTGTTTCTAAAAGTGGAGGTTCCGAAAATTAAGAATTCTAGTTTTCTCTTGGCAGCACTCATTTGGTACTTTTTAGTTTGAATTATTTGGTAATTAACATAACTTACTGTATATTTCAGCACAAGGATTGATATCATATATATGTTATGCCTCAGACTAACGCTTCCCTCAGATCACGACTAACGCACCTCAGGTGTAAATTGTCAGGTGAGATGCGTAACCTATTAATCGGTCATTAAGCACAGAAAAAAAAAATTTATATGTATAGAATAAAAAAGTATTATTGAATTTGAACGTGTTGAGAAAAACTGTACGTATAGAAAAAAAAAGTACTTATTAATTGGAATCGAAAATTCGGGCAAGAACTTCAAAGAAAAGAACGGAGGTGCTGAAGAGATTCAAGAAAGCACGTTAAAAGTCTTTTATTCAATTGATTTTACTCTTACTTTTTGTCTTAAATGATAGATCAATAGTTTACGCACCTCACCTGATGATCTGCATCTAAAGTGCGTCAGCTGTTGGGGTCCTGCGAAATACTTATTTTTGCGAGTGGTACAAACCCAAAAAGGAAATCGCATTTGTAAAATAAACTAAGAAAGTTTAGTGATTAGGACGTTAGGGTTAGCGTTAGGGTTAGTGTTAGGGTTGTGAGCTTTAGTGATAATATGAGTCTTTTATATGTTGAGTATTTTCTCTTTTTCGGTTTTTTCTTGTGTTTTTCTTCGCTTTGCTCACGTGTCGGGCTAATCCGGGATCATCACATTTTACATTCTCCGATTGGCTAATTTCCCTTTTTGGATTTGTATTACTCGCACAAATAAGTACACGCGGGGTCCTGCATATACTAATTAATCAAATCTATGTGTTATAGTAAAAATTGATAATACAGATTTTATGCATAGATCAGCAAAATCGATAGATTACTAACAAAATATTAGTATTTAAAAAATCGCTTCACCTCGCGTACTAATAATTTTTTTCAGGCAATTTTTGCGGCAAATGGTTATTATGATGTTGCAAAAAAAAATTACAGTTTAAATTTTCATTTACAAAAGTTAATTCGCGCTTTTTAGTTTAAAGTTTATATGTAAAATTTAAAAAATCTTTAATTAATTAAAAATATAAAACTGTAGCTTCTTTTTACAGCATTATAATAATTATTTTCTGCAAAAGTCGACCAAAAAAAATTGTTAGTATGCGAGGTGAAGTGATTTTTTTTAAATACTAATATTTTGTTAGTAATCTATCGATTTTGCTGATCTATGCATAAAATCTGTATTATTAATTTTTACTATAACACCTGATATTAGGGATGTTAAAAGTTCGGTTTGAGTTGGTCCTTTGAGGCGACTTGAACTGAACTTTTTTGAGTCAACTCTAGACTTGAGGAACCTTTTAGGACCAAGTCCCAATAGTCATGTGTACTATCATTACACAAATCAAAATAAATCTCCAATATAGATTCAAAACTGGTATATATATAAGATTTCTTGAATTTACTTGAATCTTTTTCCAATTACTCTACTATTACTATAATGAGAGTAATTTGTTTAATTGAATAACTTTATTTATAAAAAATAATTTATATATTTAATACATCAATATTAGGCCATACAAAATTTACTTTTTCTATTCTAAGATTCCCGCCTCTAACCAATTTTTTAGGCACAAAGAAGCTTTTACATTCTGTTTGAAGGGGCGATTCTCTATAAACTTAATCGTGTCAGAAAGTGCATGCTTACAAGAACTGCCAGTGACTTGTAGTGCAAAGAAATCTGTCACCATAAGTGCTATGGCAGGAAAACGGTAGATATTCTGCTTTCACCACAAGAGTAGTTTAACACCTGGCTCATGAGGCAAAGAAAAATAAGAATCAAATTCATTTTCTGATTCTTTTTCAATTTTACTGGTTTTACTTGAGTTTATTAATTTTTGAAAGATTTCTAAAGGATCATTGGAAGTTACTGATCCAATTGTCTCATATTACAAAAATGAAGTTTTTAATCTAAGAGTGGATAATTTATAGTCGAAACTTTCTGTGAAAGTTTTGAACTTGGTTGATGGGTCAAGAAAAGCAGGGATTGTGAAAAATCGCCAAAAGCAATACCAATAATCCCTTAGCATATCTTTCACATTTTTGGCTGCTTTATTATCCAAAGTGTATTGGTTGAGATATGATATGAGACTCTGAATTATTATTCGCAAGAATCTATGAGAGGGTTGTGAATTATTTGACAAGAATGATGTTGCTATATAGATGGGCTTCATAAATTTAATTATTTCTTCTATTATTTTTAAATCACTAGATTCCAGGTAATCTTCTCTTACGTTCGGGTTGGAGCTTATAAGATTGTCGGTAATATCTTGATTCTTAATAAGATGTTTGAGCATTAAATAAATAGTGTACTATTTTTTATTATTAATTTTAGGTTGGAGAAATATACGATCAAGAACAGCGAAAATTTTCTCCATCTTCTTCAAAAGTAATGGTGATTTTTTAATTTTGTTATAGAAATGATAAGCTTTGTTAATTTGATTAGAATAATTTTTTTGATATTCTTCAACTGAAAAACCAATAGTATATATTGCACAATATGCATATTTGATGTTGGGGTTCACGGTTCTTTCAAGATAATATAAACAAGATAGGTTGTTTAATTCATTATTCCCTATAAATCCGATTATCTTTTCTTTTATTCCTAGATCTTCTATAAGCTTGAAAACATTTTCACCAAGATTGTTACCGGTATCCCTTAATATGTAGACCAACACAGGCAAATTTGCCTGCATTTTTGCACTTTTTTAGCTCTGATTTACTTTTTTA